CCTCCTGGGCGGTTTGCTGGGGTAGGGAGAAGAACAGAATTTTTAGTCTTTGAAAATTAATTTAAACTTTTATTTTTTTAAAAAAAGGTGACACTCTCAAAGCAGCCGGGTTTTCTCTCTTCTGGTTTGCGGAGGAGTGCTTTGGGGTTGTTTCTGACGGGAATTGGGAGCTTCTTCAGGGAGAGCAAGAAACCTCAGACATTCCAGTTAAACAGATATTGATAAAAAACCGAACTAATTCTTTAATTAGAAGTAAAATTAGGATTAAAAGCATTCTGAGGACAAGTCCCCTTCCAAGAGCCCTTCTTGCTGTTTGTTCTGCGAGCATGTTCAGCAGAAATGAGACAGACACATACAGCCTTCAGTGTCTGATGGGAAATGAGAAGAGGTCGCAACTCAGAAGCACGCTTCAGGCTGTTACCAGCACAGCACCCAAGACACCTATTGTGTGCCACCAGCTTTGTACAGTTTAAAATTTCTTGGCCTTCAGACTCTGGTGTGAGAGGTAAAACACCCTTTTAGTGTCCTCCCTTGGAATCATGGGGGGGGGTCAGAAAAAATAACAACTAACCTTGCATTGAAATCATAGGAAATAATTTGCAGCCACTGAAACATGTTGAATAAAGATGAAAATAGTGTTAAAAAGAAAAAAGAAAGCTTCTTTGGTATGTTTATGGAAGTGCATTGAAGACTAGAGAACCTGCTCATCAAACGCCTTTGAATTTTTATCTGAAAAAAAGATCACATAAACATGTAATTAGTGCCTGTGTAATAACACCATGTGGCTCCCGACATCAGAATTAAGATCAAGCGGTGGACACTACCCCAGCACTTCCAGAGGTCCAGACAGCTCCTCTGCGTGATGACCATACTTGGGCAGGCTCACTGCTGCGCCATGCCGTGCCGGAGCAGGTTCTGCTGGCTCGCTGTCCCACCAGGACAGTTTACTCAGAAACCACATCTGGAAGGTAGCTGGCAAGCGCTGGAGACTACTGTCTGAGACATCTGCTATGAACAGGTCACTGGTGGGAAGTGTTCCCTGGCAAAGCACCGACAGACGGAGGTGACTGAGGGATCATTTGTGAGGAAGCCGATCATGTCAGCGTGTTCTCCAAGAGGAATCTTACACCCAGAGGGCACTGGTAGCTCCCCGCGGCACCTTCAAGGCAAACCTCCCATGCCTCCATTTCCTCCCCCCCTGCCCCGGTAACACCATCTTGGGTGTTCCGTGGGTGTTATCTGGCAAAGCACCGACAGACGGAGGTGACTGAGGGATCATTTGTGAGGAAGCCGATCATGTCAGCGTGTTCTCCAAGAGGAATCTTACACCCAGAGGGCACTGGTAGCTCCCCGCGGCACCTTCAAGGCAAACCTCCCATGCCTCCATTTCCTCCCCCCCTGCCCCGGTAACACCATCTTGGGTGTTCCGTGGGTGTTATCTTAGAAATCATAGAATCATAGAAAGTTTTGGGTCGGAAGGGACCCCTAGAGGTCATCTAGTCTATGCTGGTCAGGTCAAACGCTGTGTGTGACCACCGCGGTCTGTCCTGTTATCGTACAAAATCCTGTTTTGAACTGTTTTCTGTGTCACCTTGCTTTCTAGCCTGTGTGTCTAACTTGCTAGTGAACTTCACTGAAGCCAGACTAGTGGGTGAATAGGAGAGACCTGCACCTGGAGAGTCCCAAGGTGAGAGCTGGTGACCAGGTGGGGGGACCTGGGGTCCAGGCACAAAGATTAGATGTGAGGAACTTGTGAATTTATGGTTGTCGTGAATGTTGAGGGTGTATGTACGTCTCACTGGCAAACCTCGGCTGATGAGGAGCAGGAGGACTGGAATATCTTTGACTCTGTTTATGTGGCTGCTGGTGGTGTTGACACAGTGCTGGTAAAGGCAACTCTGCTGCTCTTTGTGTCTGACTGCATTAGCATCCTCTGTGTGTGTCGTACATGTGTGTGCCTCATGTTGGCAAAACGCACAGCCCTTGCTGCTCTCTGGAGCTACCAGTGGGAGCATCAGCCTCTGCACCTGTGAGACTGGAATGGGAAAAAAAACCCAGGTTCTGGAAGAGCGCTGCATTTGACATCCCTTGACAAACTTGCCTGCTGATTTTTTCTTGTAATTCCTCAAAATATGGCAAAGAGTTATTCTCTGTGTTAAGTTCCTTATCATTTAAAAATACCTACAGTAGAGTCTTGTATGTATTTCACACATTTAATATAAATCAGAAGGAGAACACACCTCTGGATTTGTATCAGGCAGTCCACGGAATGCATTTTTTGGCTCTGGGATTTGTGGAAATGCTGCTTTCCAACAACCTGTCCTGGAGATCAAAAGGGGTGGAACAGAAAAGAAAAACTGAGTAACTGTCATGTGTCATAACCATTGCACCCTTGAACCAGCTCTTATATTCCTCTTCCAGCACAGAAAAGAAATTAAAAATATACACCATTTCAGCACAGAATGAACACGTATCAGGAAAGCTGGAGAGGAACTTTTTACAAGGGCATGTAGTGATAGGACAAGGGGGATGGGCTTCAAGCTGAAGCAGAGGAAGTTCCGTCTGAACATGAGGAAGAACTTCTTCCCTCTGAGGGTGATGGAGCACTGGAACAGGCTGCCCAGGGAGGTTGTGGAGTCTCCTTCTCTGGAGATATTCAAGACCCGCCTGGACAAGGTCCTGTGCAGCCTGCTGTGGGTGACCCTGCTTCGGCAGGCGGGTTGGACTGGGTAACCCACAGAGGTCCCTTCCAACACCGAACATTCTGTGTTTCTGTGGGTGGTAGGAGGGTACTTCGGCTGGTAAAGCGAGGGTGGTCAGCCGGGGATATGCCTCTCCGGAGCAGCCCACCTCTGATACACGTCCCACAGACTCGCCTGATGTGGCCACCACAGCTACGCCCTCCGCCCGGCTCCAGTGCTCCCGCTGGTGGCGTTCCCCTGCAGATGCTCTGTGCAGTCCTCCTCCCCGTGTCAGGTAGGAGCCAGGAAACACTCGGTACAATTTTTACCTCGGAAGGATGTCTGTGCCTTTCTTTGCTTCGGGTCAGAATACACAAAGGACCGCAAACCACACGTAGGACCACTGAACGCCAGAACTAGCGCCTGTTTGCTGCCTGCTCGGCTCAGCTGGGCTACAAGAGGACTGAACAATAAAACCAGACAATATCAGAGCAAAGTAAAGAAACTGTAGATCTTCAGCTCTGTCAAAGATGCCAGCATCCTCTCGTGGACAGAGACTCCTGCTTTGAAGACATTGTGTTGCAAGAGGAAAGAAACCTGCTCTACAGCCTCAGTGGCCGTGAGATCATCCTCTGATGTGCCGACCCTCTCATCCACTGAGAAGGAGAAGATGAGCTGGATACTTCATCCTCAAACCTGAGGTGAGGAGGACAGAGAAATACCTCCGCTGGGCCTCCTACAGCTACACCACCTACTGTACAGTACACCAGGGCCACAGACCCAGGCTCACCTGTGAACACCGAGCTGCTTTCCCAGGGCACACTACCTTTAACCCCTTGGTACCCATCGCAGCCTTTTGGGAACACTCTGCCACTAGCCGCAGGGCTTGGGCTCCACACAGCCAGGCCTGTGCTATCCAATGGCTCACCACTTTTTCAGAACAAGCATGCCACTCCTGCAGCTTGGGCTGGTAAGAAAATAAAGACTTACACCAAAATAAGGCTCAGGACTCTTAAGAGTGGGTCTTCCCCCTGGTATGAGATGGTGAGCAGCAGCAGCAGCTTGTTAGTCTGTTTCTGTGTCTTCTAACTCAAGGAGCAAAGCCGAGCGTAATACCCCACCAGGGACGGAGCTCTGCAGCGCCAGCCACTCGGCAAGGGGCAAGAACAAAGGCGGAGTCCTCCCAATATCGCACCTTATCCCCTGCCTTACGCTAGCATCCTCACCTCCCGCAGGCTCGTGTCTCAGCGATACGGTGCTGTTGTGCAAAGTCACCATCTGACCTAGGTATCATGCCTATGGCATGATTACAAAAGAGAAAAAAACAGTGTATTATTAGCGCTAGTAGTTACTAACTGAAGCCCCAGAGTAGGCTGGAATAATATCCTTCATGATGATTACGACAGTGGACCACATCAGGTGGGTATGATTCCTATCTGTGGTTCTGGCATAGCTGGCTGCTTCCCGAAGGTGAGAGGCTGTTATGGCTATGTGACGGCTGCGGCAACGGGTCAGAAGCAACCCACTCAGCGTATCACCTCACACAGGAAAATTAGGTCGGTGGTTGGCATGCCAGTGGAAGAGTCTGGCTAACCACCTGAAGGCAGTAGCTGTTTACCGTCAAACCAGAATGTAGGCTCCAAAAAGGAAAATTTGTACATTTTGTACCAAAAGCTTTTGGTGCAGGGCCTGAAATTAGTTGATTAATTGTTGGGCACGCAGTCTGGAAGATACCAGTCTGGACATGGTGAGGTGAGCTAGGTGCTGGGGATCAGAAGCAGCTCCAAAGGGCTGACATTGCACGGAGGAGTAGGAAGAGGGCAACCGCTGAACCGGCTTCAGCTGCTGTCAGTCAAATCTCTGTCTTTTGCAACCTTGTGGTACAACAAAGATAACGTAGAGGCTCCTCACGATAGAAGGAATGATGGGCTGTGGAGGTCTGCGTGGAGCAGGTGACACGCGGGATGGTGTGGCTATGATTCCTCGTTGGGTTTGATTTGTATCCCACCCCGTCCGTGGATACTGACAGCAAGTGGCAGCCTGGGATGTCCTCAGAGATGACCCTGAAGAGCCAGAGGCCGACATTACAGGTACAGCTGTAGCTCCCTGACCTCTTGCTCACCAAATGCTCTGAAATAACGCTTTTCTCACTGCACTCATCTTTTCATTTCCCTGAAAAGAAGCTATTTGGAAAATGCTACTTTTTAGATGAGCTGCTGGACGGAAAAATTGAGAGTCCAGCGGAGGGCTACAAGGATGATGAGGGGACTGGAGCATCTCTCCTACAAGGAAAGGCTGAGGGAGCTGGGCTTGTTCAGCCTGAAGAAGAGAAGGCTGTGAGGGGACCTTATAAATATCTGAAGGGTGGGTGTCAGGAGGATGGGGCCAAACTCTTTTCAGTGGTGCCCAGCAACAGGACAAGGGGCAACGGGCACAAAGTGAAGCAGAGCAAGTTCTGTCTGAACATGAGGAAGAACTTCTTC